TTATGATTTGATAATTAAATGATTAAGAGATTTAATTAATGTTTTAGTATGTTAGTTGGCTTATAACGAACTGATTAGATTATTGGAATTATGGGGTTTTGGAAAAATAAGTCGTTTATTCTTAGATTTGTTAATTTGAAAATTAGCGAATTAGAATTTTAAAAATCTCAATTAACCGGTCAAATGATTGGTCTGAGTTAGCAACCAATTGGCTTGTTGTTGTTGATTGACAATTGATTATGATGACACTCAATCAACAAACCCAATAATTGATGTTAATTAGGCCTGTTAGATTCAATTAATTTGGAGCATGTTTGGGATCGATTAGGTGAATCAGTTCATCTTTATAATTTTGTTTTAGTCTCTAAGCTTAGGGTTGTAATCTTTTATGTTATTTTTTTCGAGTTGTTTTGAGTGTTTCTCTATATCTATATAGGTTTTGCTGATATTTCTACTAGCGATCCTCAATTCTGTAAATGTTTGTCTTTTGCTCTATTTTTCGAGTGAGTGAAATGTCTTTTAATATGAATGTAATATAAATAATTTATGTATATTGATTAGATAATGAGTACATTTGATTATTTCTTGAATAATTAGATATGTTGTTACTTTATTTTTTGAGTATTCATCTATTCTTGAAATCATATTTATATTTTGTTAAATTAAATTATATTCGATATGATATTTGTTTGCTTTGATAATTATGTGAATATTTATTATATTTTGATATCAGTATGCTTATCAGTAACTCTAGGCTAATAAAGAGTAATTAGTTTATATACTCATAATATTATGTATACATAGCTAATGAGAGAGACACCAACATATGGTGATTGATTATCTTACAGTTATCGGGGCTACAAATCTCGTCTATTATTGCAACCTTAGGGTTTTGACTATTATCTGAACCTGTGACTTTGTCTGATCTTTAACATGTATTCCATTACTATATGTTATTATGTTTAAAATATATTTGTGTGTATGTGTGTGTGTGTGTGTTTGTGTTTATTTCAATCTTTATATTTATAAATAGCTAAAATATATATTAAATGGTATTCTCTTACTGAATTGGTTGAACCCATCTCTCCATTTTAATATTATTTCAAGTTATTAGCTTTCGTTAATAAATTGAACTTTAATTGAGAATTCATGCTACTTTGTTTGTTAGTATGCATTACTTGTTTTTGCATGACTTTTTTTTTATTCTTTATGATTTGATATCTTAGACGCTTTAGTATTACACTATTTTTCATTCAGGTTTAGATTTTTATTTCAAAGATTGGATTTTATTTAATGTAGTAAGTATTTTGATTTATAAATTGTTTTATTGGTTTTGAGGAATATTTGAAAGATTATGAAATGCTATGTGAATTTTATATATATTTGTTTCATCATATGTATGTTTTGAGACTTAATATAGGTAAGATATTCTCGTGGCACATTTCTTGTATTGTCAGTCATGGACTCAGATGAAGGTCATGACAATTCAACCCTCAAGCGTTTCAAATAATGTATTTGAAAGGCTAACTTAGATGAAAAAAAAAAACAAAAACTTATATATGTTATCTATTTTTGTATTTGTTCATGAAAATTTTATCAATATTCTTGAAGAAAAATCATTGATTCTTTTAGAAAAAGTTAGTTTTAGTTTCTTAAGATAATGCTCAAGAGGAATTGGAGACACGTATAAAGACTTCAGGCTGGTTTTTCAGGATTTGTCGAAACTACATGGTAACAAAGACTTATAGACACACATGCAGAGTTATTGGAGATTTGTTAGGAGTCGTGGAGACTATGTGGGAGAGTAGTTTTCATGGAGATTTTTTGTGGAGACCAAATAAATTTTCAAGGAGAAATTTCATAGAGAAACAATACATCTTATTGAAAAATTCAAAAGATGGTGATACAATCTTTTGGAGATAATCGGGGATTATTTGATCTTAGGCAACGTTTCAAACCCAAATACACAATTTTCTTTTCCTAATTCTGATTGTTTTTTTTTTCACAAACTGGTGGAGGTAACCCCTACCTATTAATTATTCTATCTCTTTCTTAAATTTGTGGCACTCCTTGATATCATCCTTATTGTCACTGTAAAATAAACAAAACTTGCTTGGATTCCTTGTATTTGTTTTACCTTTTACGAGAGAAGGATATCACACAAATTCTTTGATTTGGATAGCAAATAACACCTCAACTAGTATAGTGGTCAAAGTTATAGTTATGAGCTCAAGGAATGCCAAATGATTATAAATATTCCTTTTTATGCTTTTTTTTATATGTTCTTGTTAAGAATTGATGGAATGGTAGAGACTCTACTAAAGTCTAAAAATATAGATGACCTTTTCTAATGATGCTAATTTTTTTTCCTTAATGTAATTTTCCACTATGTGTTTGAAGTTGAGGAGATTTTTATCAAGAGAGTGTATAACCTCTCCCATAAGGAAAATTCATAGACTCTACTAATGGGGGCTTTTGTCATGATGGGTTCAAAAAGCTTTTTCACGCTAAGCATTTCTTCATTAAACATTTACAGTTAAACACTAATTCATTCATTTTCTCATTGCGTAACAGTGAAGAGCTCTATAATGCTCTTTTTGGTAGGGATATATATGTTAAAATAAAAGATGAGTTTAGAGTTGAGATCTTGAAATTAGGGAATAAAATCAGGCTCTTAACACCATATATGTGTAGATCCACAAAGTATTGTTAGAAAAATCTTGCACATATCATCAATATCTTATATGACAAACTCTAAAATGCTTCTCACATTTTATATATACTCTTGAGGATCTGTGAGTCCCTTATAATTATTTAGACTAGATTTTATAGAGGTCATTGAAAAGTCGAGTGTGGTGGAGATTGATGTTACTAGATCATTTTAAACTCATCCCTCCATTTTAATATGATTTCAAGTTCTTAACTTTCATTAACAGGTTGAACTTTGATTGAGTGTTCCTGCTACTTTGTTTGTTAGCATGCATTACTTGTTTTTGCATGGTTTTTTTTATTCTTTATGATGTGATGTCTTAGACACTCGACTATTATAATATTTTCCATTCAAGTTTAGATTTGTATTTCAAAGATTGAATTTTATTTAATGTAGTACGTATTTTGAATTATAAATTGTTTTATTGGTTTTGAGAAATATTTGAAATATTTCGAAATGATACATGAATTTTATATATATTTGTTTCATCATATGTATATTCTGAGATTTAGTATAGGTGAGGTATTCCCGTGACACATCTCCTGCGTTTCCGGTCATAAACTCGAGATTAAGGTCATGACCCTGAAGCCTTTCAAACAATGTATTTGAAAGGCTTAATTTAGATGAAAAAGGAGAAAAAAAACAAAAAAATTACAAATATTATTTATTTTTGTATTTGTTCATGAAAATTTTGTTAATATTCTTGAAAAATATCCTTCGTACTTTTAGAAAAAGCTAGTTATACTAAATGAAAAATACTTTAAATAGCAACCATAATTGCTACTACAATCTCAAATAAACCTAGAATTTATAAGATTGTGAAAAATTCATAAGATTCCATATAGAAAAATATAAAAGATATATATACAATAACAAAAGAATAGGAGAAAATATATACAAAAATATATAAAAAAATACACAAAAATATCCGGGTTTTTTCATAGCTGGTTTGCGTAGGCATGCCCAATTGCTTGGACTGACTAGGCGAGCAACCCAGCTTGCCAAGGCTGATCTAGGCACCGGTTAGCCCTTTTGGTTTTTTTTTGTTTTTTTGTTTTTGGCTTGCTTGGCACATCACAGTATATACAAGGCTTCGAAACAAATTTAATTACTTTCGTATATAAGATTTATTTAAAAAATATTATTATTGTTATTATTATTATTAACAAATAAACTAAAATATTTAAGAAAAACATTATTCATCTACCAAATGAAAAGTGTTTTTTCATTTTAATCCCTGATCGAGTTTTTAAAAAGGATGACACAACATTTGGGGGACTAAAATCTAAATTGAAAAGGTTTGTTGTTGTTTTATTACTGAGACTTTACATTCTAAGCTTTTACATCAAATTCTTCTTGATTGATTAAAGGTTTGTTTGTCTCCATTTTTTTCCTTTAACTTTTACTACTTTACTTTGATATAAAGTATTAATAAAAAAAATGTTTGGTTAAAATTTTTAAAAAATAATTAAAAATGATTTTTATAAAAGCAGCTTTTTTCTATATATAAAAAAAGGTATAATAGCTTTCATTTTAGAGAGCATAGAAAATTATTTTTTTATATTAAAGGCTTTTTTATTTAAATAAAAGAATAAATAACTTTGAATATTTTAAAATTAACTAACTAATATTATTTTTATTATATACATGATAATTAACTCATATTTAATTACTTAATTAATAACCTTAGATATTTTAAAACTAACCTGAGATAATTAACTAATATTTAATTAACTTTTGGAATCTTAATTAAATTATCCTGTTGTTCTGTTTACTTAAAAAACTATGTAATGTTTGATTATTGGTTTTTTTTATTTATTTTTTAAAAATAATTCATCTATTTTTTAAAAATAAATTTATAATTTATTAAAAATTAAATTTTCTAACCCATGTACTTAATATATTTTTTAGTTTAAATAATTTTCCTAACATAAATTACAATAATTCATGGATACAGATTTTAGTTTAATGTGTTTAATCATCTGTAGCGAAGAGGCTCTACAGTCTACACAACTTTCTTGCGTGATCTTTTTGGGCCATAACCCGACCTAAAGCATTGCTTTTAATTCATCCAATCTAGAGAGATTCGAGGCCTGGTCTGGGCCTCTCATAGCCTAACAAAACAAAAGGAAGCTGCGAAATCATCCTCCACGTCATCATCCAATAATACGGGAGGAGAAGATTGATCTTCAAACGTGTCAAAATCCGAAAATCTTTGAGGCATCTCCACCCTCCACGTGTCCACGAAGAACCGCCTTTCAATCCCAGCAAACCTACAAAACGCACAAAATGAGGTCTCGAAGAATCTACCTCCTCTTTCTTATCAAAGCCAAAAGATGTTGAGGCAACTGGTATCCAAGAGATTGATCACCCAAAGAACTCAGATCCTGCCACGCTTCTATCACGAGAAGGTGATTGATCACTTCAACAATCCTCGCAACGTTGGTTCTTTTGACAAGAATGATCCGACGGTGGGTACTGGGCTTGTCGGTGCACCTGCCTGTGGTGATGTGATGAAGCTGCAGATTAAGGTGGATGATACAACTGGTGAGATTATCGATGCTCGTTTCAAAACCTTCGGTTGTGGCTCCGCTATTGCTTCCTCCTCTGTTGGTATGTTTGTCATTTTACTTCCAATTTCTATTTTTGGTTCTGTTCATTTTCTTTTCGAATTTCTAGGGCTTTTATCAATTTATTATGCTGAATGTTAATTCATTTATTGATTTATTCGTAGATGTGAATATGTGGTGCTGATTTTTGTGTTGTTTTTTCCAGCTACTGAATGGGTGAAAGGGAAACAAATGGAGGAAGTTATGACCATCAAGAACACGTGAGTTTTTTTTTTTATATATAACTTCTTGTTATTGCGTGCTTTTAATTATTAATAATTATTGCCTGGGTGGGTTCTAACGTTTCAGTTTAGGGGGGAAAATCTTGTGCATGGTTGTTTTCTTATAGTAGTAACAATTTTGTGCGTGCTTAGATTGTTGTGTTGATTTTTTTTTAATTTTCTTTTACATATTTAGTGCGAATTTAATGGAATCTACGAGTATAACATAAATACCAAACCGAGGAAGTGAGTGTGAGCATAGTTTTTGAGGAACTTCGAGGACTACTGGATTTGTATAATGTCCTAAGTTTTTGAGTCTAGTCCTGTTTTCATATGTTATAGTATATGATTTGTAGAGTGTGGTTGACATTTGAAGATGGTGGATGCTGAAGTGAGAATCGGTATTGGATATTATGTGCATTGGTTCTGCCAATGTATTTGCATAATTTTCAGTTATTGCAGCATACAAAATTTTACTGGTTTTATATTAAACTCAAGAGTTGTATATGTTTGAGATTTGTAGAGTTGTCTTGAGGTTATCAGATTGTGCAATTTCTTATCCAGAGGATGATAGTTTTATGGACCCTACTTTTCCAATCTTCTGAAATTTGGCCTTGCTGAAGGTTAGGGAATTATGACTAGAACACATCAGATCACTTCAGCGATACGAAATTGCTTTCAAAAATGTGGAAGATGGAAGAGTGAATAGCACCATCACAGTTGAAGTGTATTTGCAGTCTAGTGACATGGGATCCCTCATCCCTGTTTTTTACCAACAACTTACGATTCTTCATACAATTCAAGTGGCATCATGTAGGCTGACCTTGTCTTATCAAGCAAGACTACTTTCGCATTACTATCCTTGAATACTCATGACCAAAGTTAAACCATTTTTGACATTAGCCTTGATTGGAAGCATAAAGAGGTTTAATAAATGTTGTTTTGTGCACTTATGACTGGGAATATTCATAGTTGGTAATCAATTAGGCATTGAATCTGAGAAAAGTAATGTCGTGGTCATCTTTCTCTGGTCATAATCCAATGCAGGTATTCTTGGGAGACATGATGAGGATTGTATGATGCTCTTGTCATGTGCTTGTTTGTGCTGTCAATTTCTTCGAATGAATTTTATGATTTAGCTATGAGAAGAGGTTCATGGTAGATTTTCACGTTATTGTTATTCTGGAATATTATTATAGTATTTGGCATGGTCTTATTTCCTTGACAAACAGGACTCAGTTTATTTTCATTTTGTTTTTGGTTAACCAGATTGCTATTCTGATCTTATGAACTAAACGAGAAAGAAAGTCTCGATCCTTTATTGTATCAGATCTTAGGTGCTTTCTGTTTGTGAACAATAGAAAACATTTTTTTTCTTTTTATATCTTTGAATTTACGCAAAGTACGTGTGCATGAGTGAATGGTTCTGTCTCCTCTTTGGTGCAAGTTTGGGCAGCTGAAGAATGCTCTTCTCCTCTTTTTTCTCCTCCTAATTCTTCTCCTCTTTTGTTTTGTTTTGTTTTGTTCTTCATTTTTTTTCTGGAAAAAGCCTTTCTTTTCATTCTATAATCACAACTCTCTTTTTTATTAACTTGTATAAATGCATAAAAGGACATGCATGACCATGCACGCACACCAAATCACTAGTGTAAATAATGCCACAGTGACCAACAGAAATGTATAGATGGAAACATGAGATGGCCTTTCTACAGTGAGTTTGAAGGGGGAAAGAAGGAACTTATATTTGACGCATGCATGACACGTTAAATCATTACTGATTTCACAATTGAAATAATAGACTTCAAGTGTTTTGGTCTTAGAAAATGTAAGGGGCCTCATATGTTAGAGACAGAGAAGGACTGATTCCATGAAGGAAGAGAAAAATTATAGATGTACACTAGTTGTTGATAATTTTAGGTTGAATGTCTTGTGTGTTGTCATTGCATCCATGTCCATGTAATAGGTAAAGGGTAGCAGTAGGGAATGAAACGACATTAGTCTTTCCATTTCTTGTTATAAAATGGTAATGACTTGTTTTTATAGTTGTTGATAGTTTTTTGTTTAATTTAACATGCTTGGTACCTTCATAGCTTCAGTAATAGATTTTGGTTCTGCCTTTTTTCAATATATAATGAGGCCCCACCCTGAAGTTTTATAGCGCAACATGATTTCTTAGCATCATGGCATCTGTATTTGCAGGGAGATCGCAAAACATCTTTCTCTCCCACCAGTTAAGCTGCACTGCAGCATGCTTGCTGAGGATGCCATCAAGGCCGCTGTGAAGGATTATCAAACCAAGCGTACAAAATCAAATGTTGATTCAGAGGCGGAACCTGCTATGCAGGCTGCTAAAGCTTGATGATGTGCAAGAGTAAACGATGATGAAAATATCTATAGACGAATCTTATCAAGTAGTTGTAATAAGAGATTGTACCTGGTCTAAAGATGTTTTGCTTTGGGTTCAAGTCCTTCCCAAATGACACTTGTGAATCTGACGAGTGGATATGGTAGTGGCAGCGTGATGCTGTTGTGTTTTCACGCGTACAAGGTGTGTATGTTCCTTGTATAAAAATATTTCCTTTGCTATCATTCTTGTTTGTGGTTTGTTGATTGGTTGGTAGAATTTGATCGATTGGATTATGCTCCTCATTCAAGCACTGTTCTGCAGCGATCAGCATTTATCGTTTCTCACTGATTTTAATTTTAGTTTAAATCCCAGCACAGTTGTCTTTATATGGACGCCTATGATGCGTGGAATTATTGAAGCATTGTGTGTGGCTAGCTTCTGAGTTTTCATTGCAATAGTTTGCTCGATGATTTAACTTTGTTTTTAATATATACTAATTTTTCAATAACTAGTTTAAACTATGCTGAGTTCATATATTTTTGTTATAAGAATTCAAAAAGATAATTTTTAAAAATCATATGAATGCTTCAATTTTTTCCCCAAAAATAACAAAGAAATGAAGAGAATTTTCTCTTTCTTTCTTTCTTGCAATGTAGGTCAACAAGTGTTTCAATTACAAAAAGAACTATATTGTGGGAATATGATAAACCAAAATCTAAAATTAGTTTAACTACTTTATATATAGTAATATTTATAGTTGAACTTAAACCTCCAAAGAAATAAAACTATTTATAACTTAGTGTGTACTGTATCCCGTTGCTTTTTGGTTTGGCTGATGAATATTTCTTATTTTGGTTCAAAAATTTTTCTTTCAATTATATTGAGGCCTAACTGCATCATATTTTTCTAGAATAGGTGAAATTAAAAGATAGAGAATCAAAAAATTGATGGATATTTATATTTTATATAAAAAGTTCAGTTTGGTTTTTATTTGTAGTTCATAAATAATTGGCTCTTTTAGTTATTGAAAATTTAATTTTAAAATAATATTTAATTTTATTTATTTTTCAATTCTTGGTTTAATAAAGGAGAAAGAGTCCTTGAATTTCATGCAGATAGAGAAAGTCATTGTAAAAACTAATTTTAATCATTAAAATAATTGATCTTATTATTAACATGATTCATTTGAGGAAGAAAATTTTTATCCAATTTGATTTTATGTTTTTTTTTTTTTATCTTTTTTGGGTTTTTTAAGTTAATAAAATGATTTTTTAGATGTTTAAAGGGTGCTTATAAGGTGTTTTCTGTTAAGTTGAAAAATAGGTCTTTAACAGAAAAATAGGTTTTTAAAGAGGAAAAAAATATTTTACCTTGATTTTTTATCTAGTGGTCAAAATCATAGTAGACTGATGATAAGTTGTCTTCCCTAGCGAATAACATTTTATATGATTATTATTTTTTTTAAGAAAATATGTCATCCACCTTTAATAGATATTAAAAAAAATATGAAACATGATTTGTTTTAAAAATAAAATATTTCATCCACCTTGGTATTGAAAAAAATAAAACAAGTACTAGGCACACGTGAGCTTGAGTTGGAAGGCCACACACCTAGGTTATTTCTTTTAAAAGCCCAAGTATGATAGGCTAATATTTAGGTTTTTTTATGTTTTTTTCTAGATTTTTTTATTTTTTATTTTAATAAAATATAAATTTTTTAAAAAAATTATTAAATCCAGTTGAATCAATAACTTTGATCACAAATTTAATGGATTAAGCCATAACGTTTAGGTTAATATAATGTATTATCATTTTAATATGTTTTAATAAAATATTTTATATTTAAAAAAACTAGACATTTAGTTTATTTTGATTTTGGCTTTGTAATGTGTTGCATTTTTATTGTGGAATTAATTTGTTCAAAATTGCTTTTTACATGATTGTCATAGTCTTATGATTTTGGTCATGGGTGCAGCAGGTGAACCTGAGTTGATCTTGACCACTTTAATAAATTACATCAATATTTTTTTTAGAAAAAAAGTCATTTCATAATTTTTTTTTTCTAATTTATTTTCTTCCAGTTTAATCCATTAGCTTTTTGTTATTATTTTATATTTTGGTTAAATAAATAAATTTTTAAAAAATATATATTAAGCCCAAGAGATTCCATAACTCGAACCATGAGTTTAGTAGGGTAGGTCATGAAACTCAAATTTATAAAATATATCATTATCTCAATATTTTTTTAAAAAATATCAAATATAAGCATTTGATTTATTTTGAGCTGGTCTTTATGATAACTTAGCTAGTTGGAAAAAAAAAAAATTCAAATGTATTTAGTACTTTCCATAACTATTTAATAAGCTTTAAGAAAAAAATTAGATTGTGTTGTGATTTATATACTTCTATAAAACAAGTTTTATTTGTAAAATAGGTAACTCTATGATGTTTAAGTTATAAAAAGCATAAAAAGGAATACAATGTATAAATAGAAGAAAAAAATACAAAGTGTTTTGTTTAAGTGCTCATATCTAGGAATTTGTCTTATAGTTTATTGTTCAATTATGTTTTATACCTGATGATCCTTAGATATTTATACACCTCAGACCATATGTATTTGCATTATATTTCATAGGCTTACTATAACATCCCACATCGAAAAAAGAGTGTCTAGAGAGTTAGAGCATATTAAGGTAGTTAGCACCTAGCCTTGTAGGACGTATTTTGGGGTCTGTGGGTTGCTAGAAACAAAACTATAAGATATGGAAACCAAGTTGGGCTAAGCCATAACGAATAATATTCTGTAAAGGGAAGCGGGTCGGGTCTTATATATGGTATCAAAGCCAAAAATGACTCATTCTTAAGATGGAGGGGTTGTAATATCCCACACCGAAAGAAAAATATCCAAAGTTAAGACATATTAAGACAGTTGCTACCTAACCTTGTAGAACGTGTTTTGGGGCCTTTAGACTACCAGAAACAAAACTGTAAGGCGTGGAAGCCGAGTTGGGCTAAGTCATAACTTAGGTTGAGACTGGTATCAGAGCAAAAAGGAGTGGGTCAAGACTTACAAATGGTATCAGAGCCAAGGACGTCTCGTTCTTGAGGTGGGGGATTGTAACATCCCACATCGAAATAAGAGTGTCCAGAGTCATGACATATTAAGGCAATTGGTACCTAACCTTGTAAGATGCGTTTTAGGGCATATGGACTGTCAGAAACAAAACCATGAGACGTGAAAGCCGAGTTGGGCTAAGTCATAACGAATAATATTCTACAAGGAGGAGTGGATTGGGCCTTACATAAGGTATCAAAGTCGAGGATGCCTCGTTAAGGTGAGGGGATTGTAACATCCCACATCAAAAGAATAGTATCTAGAGTCATGACATATTAAGGTCATTGATACCTAACCTTATAGGACGTGTTTTGGGGTCTATGGGCTGTTAAAAACAAAACCATGAGGCGTGGAAGCCGAGTTGGGCTGAGCCATGGTGGACAATATTCTGTAAGGGGGAATGGATCAGGCTTTACATATGGTGTCAGAGCCAAGGACTGCTCGTACTTAAGGTAGGGGGATTGTAACATCCCACTTTAAAAAAAGAGTATCCATAGTTAAGGCATGTTAAGGCAATTGGTACCTAACGTTGTAGGATGCGTTTTAGGGCTTGTAGGATGCTAGAAACAAAACCATGAGGTGCGAAATATTCTGCAAGGAGAAGTGGGTTGAGCCTTACATTTACAGACCTATCCATAAGAGTAATCATGGAGAATATACGTTTTACCATGAATAATCATGCATCTAGCTTATTAAGACGAGTTGTTCATATAGGTTTCTATCTTGTTAACTTATTAAACAAGATTTTTCATGCATGTAACTTATAAAATGAAGAATTCAATTAAGTATTATACTGATAACTTGTAAGATGAAGAATTCAGATGGGAAATTGTGCATGTTTGATCTTGTTTGGTATGCCATGTTTGTTTTAAAAAAGGAGTTAATATCTTAAAGGAAAAACGAGGAGGATTGATAGGTATTTTAGCAATATTAGGTTTAATATGACTATCTTATTTCTTTTTTTCTTTTCTCTTCTCTCCTTGATTAGGCCTTAATTAGACTATGGAAGGCCTTCTTTGAAAACTAATTTAGAGATTTAATGCAGAATCGGGGATCAAAACAAAAAGGAAAATCCAATATGTGTTAGCCAAACACAAACTCCATCTTTTAGCAATGAGTGAGGCTCACTTTAATATTTGATAGGGCTCTTTTTTTTTTCCTTTAACTTCATATAGCATAAATGATTCTTTTTATTCAACATATGTTGTAATCAGAGTTTTTTATGAAGATCTGACAACTTGTGTTATGTTATGTTTTTCATTTTTTATTTTCACAAGCTACTTCTATTACATAAGTACACACTCAAGAGATTTATCATGACTCTTTACTTTTCTACAGTCTTTATCTCTAACATTAGTTACTAAGGACACTTATGTTGGTTTTTATCATCTCCAACCTTAAAAACTTTTGTATCAGTAGTGGATTGTCCTATTTTTATTGCTCGAATTCTTAGCCATCAAATGAAAGCATTATCTTATAAAAATATCTTCAAAATCAATCAACTACTTTCTAATATGGTAGCTTCAACCAAGCATGCTTTGTTCACTATTATTACAGCTTTTATTGATGAACCAAATTATTTAACCACTACTTCTAAATATTTATAATGGTGTAATGTCATGGTTGATGAATTTTATACTCTTATACATAATAGGTCAAGGATTTTAGCTTCACATAAACCTTATAAGAACATTATTGATTCAGATGAATCTTCTATATTAAACTTTATATTGATAGTATTATTGAACACTATAAAGCTTGTCATGTTGCAAAAGGTTTCCATCAACAACAAGGTATTGATTATAATGACACCTTTAGTCTTGTAATTAAACCAATTAAAATCCATATCATCTTATCTCTTGCAGTGCAAACTTAATGTTATATATATTAATTTGATGTTAAAATTCATTTCTAGATGGTGTTCTTAATAAAGATGTTTACATGACCCAACCACCAGGTTTCTCTCATTCATAATTTCCTGGTCATAGATGTCATTTACATAAAGCACTGTATGACCTCAAATAAGCTCTACGAGTATGATTTTCTAAAAGCAGCTCTAAACTTCTTTCACTTAGTTTTGTTAGGTCAAAGGATGATACCTTACTCTTCATTCTCAGTACTACTTAAATATTTAAGTTTTTTGTGTTTAATTTATGTGGATGAAATTTTAGTCATTAGTCCAAATACTTAAGAAAATTCTTAATCTCATTGAATAGCTTCACATTGAATTTGTTCTCAAGTATCTTAGGTAGTTAAATTTTTTCTTGGGTA